CCCTTCTACTGGAAACTGCATCATAAAAAGCTCTGAAGCAGGTGCAGTATCCATCACCCTTCATTAAGGGACCCAGGCGACATCTTACAAATCAAATCACAGGCAGAAGGGCCACAAGAAAGAGGAACATTGGCAAGACACTTCCTATGCTGCACCCTCTTGAAAATGCACCCACATTCCGTTCCCTGTCAACGCTCATCCACCTTCCCAGACCAGGGGTAGCCCTAAAGAAATACTGGCAGCATCCACTAGCTTTATACTACAGGAAATGGGGAATTTCTCATATTTTTGATTGACAACAAATTTTAATATTTCTCTCTTTAAGACCCAGGGTTAGGGAGGAGCAAGATTGCTCCCAGCAGGGGCGGAATTAACCCTGGGACAGCCTCAGGGGCCAACCCAGCGGGATTTACCTCTCCTGTCTCTCTCCCCCTAGGAGCAGCACATTCTGTAAGGAGTTGCTCCTGGCTGGCTGAGCAGTTTACAATAGAACCGAACAGTGGGATGGAATTCATTCCTGGCCCTGCAAGTTTCCGTCCTTGGGGTGCCCTCAATTTGAAGAATGGCTGCAATGGCTCCTGAGGTGGGGAAATGAGAACAGCAGGCAGAGCACAGGGGTGTCAGCAATCAGAGGATGTGTCTGCAAAGAAACAGCCTCTTTAGGAGGAGGCCACAGGCAAAGCCACCAGCAGAGCCCAAGGCTTCCAACACAGCCTGGCTCACAATCAGGATGACGGGGTGGCCTGCAGAACCGACCTGGGGACAACACCTTCCTTGGGGAACCCCTGAATTCTGGTAAAAGGCTAACTTGGTGATTGGGTTCTTTTGCTTCTCTCTCCCTTTAAAGGGGAGATGTCTTGTAAGTGACAGGCCCTCTGCTCTGCACACCTCCTCCTCTGCACACCTCCTCGGCCCAGGAGCTGGGAGGGCTGCACTGTACCTTTTCATTCCAGCACGGTGCTAAATGCATCCTGTGCAGTTATTTTGCATTTAATTCCTACAGAGTTTTATGATCTAAGGTTTAGTACCATGTTTTAATTTTTTTTTAAATTTTTTATTGTTGGTTGTTCAAAACATTACATAGTTCTTGATATATCATATTTCACACTTTGATTCAAGTGGGTTATGAGCTCCCATTTTTACCCAATATACAGATTGCAGAATCACATCAGTTACACATCCACTGAATTACATATTGCCATACTAGTGTCTGTTGTGTTCTGCTGCCTTTCCTATCCTCTACTATCCCCCCTCCCCTCCCCTCCCCTCCCCTCTTCTCTCTCTGCCCCCTCTACTGACATTCGTTTGTCCCCCTTGTATTATTTTTCCCCTTCCCCTCACTTCCTCTTGTATGTACTTTTGTATAACTCTGAGGGTCTCCTTCCATTTCCATGCAATTTCCCTTCTCTCTCCCTTTCCCTCCCACCTCTCATCCCTGTTTAATGTTAATCTTCTTCTCATGCTCTTCGACCCTACTCTGTTCTTAGTTACTCTCGTACCATGTTTTATAAGTTAAGAGAAGTTGTGCAGAGGTCAGGGAACATGTTCATTGTCACAAAGTAAAAAAAACAAAACAAAACAGCTGATTCTGCATTCCTCATGGTTGAATGTTAAGTTGAAGGAAAAGCTAAAGAAGCAGGTGGGTGGCAGTTTGGGGTCCATGGGAAACAGTCAAGTAAGCTGAGACCAACAACATGAGACACAAAAGGTGAAGGGTGATTGGCATCACCTCTAAATCCATAAAATCAATAAGTAAGGAGTGCTGGCTGCTCTGTGCCTAACATATGAAAGAAGAAAAATGGGTACAACTTAAATTTTTTAAAAAGCAGGTTTGCAGTAGTGAATGATTTTGTAATTGGAAGAATTTAAAGGTGACAATCCTCCAAAAACAAAAATTTACATGATTTTGGTGGAAAAAGCTTTAGGGAGGGTTTGGTAGGAGATGATCTCTGAATTATTCTTCCTGTTGTGGGAAAAGGAGAAGTTACCCGAACTTAGGATCCACCTAGGGATGGAAATGAAGACCATTATGGTCTTCTGGGTTTGCAGGGCTTCCTAGCAGACATTTATTAGGAAAACCCCAGGAGAAGTCCCAGGAGTTTCAGAAACTGAGATTCTGGTGTTGGGGTCAACATGGTTTTAAATGGGAGTTAGTGAAAGAGTTGCCACTGGCATTTTGATACTATGAACATAGGGAAAGAAATGAGATGAAAGTACAATAAGCTATTATATATATATAAAGAGATTTCAGAACAAGACTTTGGTACAAACTCAATACCCATACCCAAGCAAAACAGCCCAAAGTAGGACAAGCAAAACAAGACACCATCTACAAAACCTACCCACAGCTGAAAGTGTTCTTGTTCATTTAAACTACACCAGTAAACCTTAACACCTTTACTCAGGGATCCATCAATTAGCCCGGGTGCATGGGGTACTGTTAGTTGCCTTTTAGTGGAATTTACAGATTAATGATGCTGTGTTTCTTGTTAGTATGAAACAAATTCCATCTACTAAGGATTCAAATGCTAAGCAGGAGAATCTCCCCTACCTACTGCTGTGTGGTTTTTCCCTGGCAATATTATCCATGGCATTGGTGTTCATTTATGCAGTGTGCATAACAGACCAAAGCAACAGAAAAGCAGATTCCATAGGTTTCCATAAAGACCATTATTTTGATAGTTAAATTTTGGATTTAAAAAAAACAAACTATTTTTAAAGGTAGCCTCTTCAACAAATGGTACTGGTAAAACTGGAAAACCATATGCAGCAAACTGAAACTAAACCCCTAATCTCCTATCTCTTACCATAAACAAAACTCAATTCAAAATGGATCAAGGACCTAGGAATTAGAACCGAGACTCTGCACCTAATAAAGAAAAAAGAAGATCCAAATCTTTATCACATCAGATTAGGGCCCGACTTCCTTGACAAGATTCCTAAAGCACAAAAAATAAAATCAAGAATCAATAAATGGGATGGATTCAAACTAAAAAGCTTCTTCTCAGCGAAAGAAACAAACAATCAATGAGGTGAAGAGAGCCTACATTTTGGAAGCAAATTTTTGCCACACACATGTCAGATACAGCACTAATCTCCAGAATATATAAAGAATTCAAACAAACAAACAAAAAACCAACACCAAAAAAACAAATAGCTCAATCAATAAATGGTCTAAGGAGCTGAACAAATTCTTCTCAAAAGAAGATATAGAATCAATCAACAAATATATGAAAAATGTTCAACATCTCTAATTAGAGAAATACAAATCTCTAAGATTTCATCTCACACCAGTCAGAATGGCAGTTACCAAGAATACAAACAATAATAAGTGTTGGCGAAGATGTGGGGAAAAGGCACGTTCATACATTGCTGATGGGACTGCAAATTTGGTGCAACCACTCTGGAAAGCAGTAGGGAAATTTCAGAAAACTTGGAATGGAACCACCATTTGACCTAGCTATCCCACTCCTCAGTCTATACCCAAAGGACTTAAAATCAGCATATTACAGTGATGCAGACACATGAATGTTTATAGCAGCTCAATTCTCAATAGCTAAACTGTGGAAGCAACCTAGGTGCCCTTCAATAGCGAATGCATAAAGAAACTGTGGTATATATACACAATGGAATATCACTCAGCATAAAATTATGGCATTTGCAGGTAAATGTAGGGAGTTGGAGAATATCATGCTAAGCAAAGTAAACCAGTCCTCCCAAAACAAAGGCCAAATGTTCTGATAAGTTGATCCATAATGGGGAGGGGGCAAGGGGAAAATGGAGGAACTGTGATTGGGCAAAGTGGGGGGAGGGGAGGGGAGGGAGAATGTGGGCAGGAAAGATGGTGGAATGAGATGGACATCATTACCCTTGGTACAAGTATGACTGCACCTTTGGTGTGACATTGCATGGTGTACATCTAGAGAAATGAAAAGTTGTGCTGCAATTCTGTACAATGAATCAAAATGCATTTTGCTGTCATGTATATGTAATTAGAATAAATAAATAAATATTTTAAAATAAGAATGCAACTCAGTTTCCTATAAAGCACCTCTGAAAAAGCAAATTAAATAAGAAACTTTAGATGATGAACCTCACAGTATAGCTTTTGTGAGGTTGCTCATGGGTTAGTGTCTTTAAATATCAGTTTATATGAATCCATTCTAAACTTGGTTACCCCCAGACAGCTCAGTAACTTGAATGAGTTATAATCATCATCACATCTGATGATGCAGGTCATACTTTAACTCCTAAGAATAAAAAGAAGTTGAATTTTAAAAATAACTATTTTTAGAAGCATGCAATATGATGGAAACAGCAGGTTGGCCCTTGGAGGCCTGGGAAGGAATTCGTGCTCTGCTGTTGTTTAGTTCACAGCCTCTCTGGTCTGTGATCTACGGCGGTTCATATGATTATACGAAAATATGCGGGCAAGCATAAAATGAGAAGTATTATATCTAGTTTTTAAGTACTAGTGATCGTTGATACTGGAAACTCAATTTTAATTACTGCTAGGTTTTAGATAAGTAAAAATGTTCAGAACCCAATCTGGGTAGTCACGAATTCCAGCGTCTTCCCAACAAGCAGGTGACATGGGATCTCACACATTCACGAGGAAGAACGCAAGACGTCCAGGATGAAGAGCCCAACGCAAAGTCAGGCTCAGAGACGCCAAGGGAATTTCTGTCTGCCTCCTGGACCGCGGACCGAGGCAACACCCTTTCGTGTTTCCAGGGTCCTCTGTCTGTCCACTCTGTCTGTCGTTGGCCTTTGGGACCCTTTTTTGTAGCTTAAGTGTGACGTCCACATCCACCTTTCAGATTCCACCGGGCACCAAAAGGCTTTCCAGACCGTCCGTCTAGTGTTCTTGAGCCTGGAGGAGGCCGGTGCTTCCAGAGAAAAGAAAGTCAAATTGGGAAACCGCGACCTTACTCCGCCCCCTCCACCGCCAACAAGTAAAAGTAAAAGTAAAACCGCAGCAGCCCGCGCGTCCCGGTGGCAGCAGGTGGGTGGGTCTTGATACAGCGGAGACGGTTTCGAGAACTCGTGTCCCCCAGACGAGTCCCCGGGGTGCGCCCCGCGGTCGGACAGCCAGGAGAGGGGGGTGACTCCCGGGCCACCTCGCCGGAGCCCTCGCAGGCTTGGCCAGGTGGCCACGCTCTCCTGGAGGGCAGTCGTTGCCGACCAGAGGCGACAGCGCACTAGAGGGAGAGAGTGCAGTTTGCGCAGTGGACGTGAACGGAGCTGAGCTCCCGGCCCGGGCACCTGTGGAGGTGGGAAGACGCTGGGGACAGCCCCAAGCCCGAGCCCGGGGAGCGCCCAGCGGGGGACGGGGCCGGGGCGTGCATCTGGAGCATCTGCAGCCGGCTCTTGAGCAATCGAGCGCTTAGATTTCTCACGGAGATGTGCCCGAGCTGGCAGCCACACCAGGTGTAGAGTCACCTTCCTGCGCCTGGAGCGGTGGCCCTGGATCTGGTTTTGTTTCGACTTGATTTTTTTTTTTCCTGTTCCGACTTATCCTTAGCAGGAGCCAAGAACACAAAGGATTCTCTTAACCCTACCGTTGTGTTTCTCGGGGAATACCCTCCAGGACCGGGGACTGGCAAGGCGGTGAGCCCCAAGTCCCTGCGGGTGGATTTGTTCCACGCCCCACAGCGGAAGGTGCTGTACAGACGACGTGCCGGTTCCTCGTGGGTCTAACCCATTCAGGTCCTTCCCACAGGGAGGCCCTTATCTGAAGGGCTGGACCGCCTAAGTGCGGCCCGCAGGGTGAAGCCTGGCAGAGGTGGCACCTGAATCAGGAGAGGACACTCCTGTGTGCCCTTGTCTCCGGATGAAGGCTGCAGTTTGTTGGAGTGAGCTTCTTTCGCAGCTGGAGGCTTTGGACTTACAACATGCCCTAGAGCAGATCTTTTTCCCCAGCTATTCCCAGCCAGGAAGTCAGATCCACACCTTGGGACAGACTCCCAGGAAGATGGGGCAGGCCAAGGATCCGCTGCGTCCTACTCAGGTGACCCTGACAGACACGGGGGGTTTTCGAGTTGCTGAAGTAGAGAGCAGCACAGAGGTCATTCTTTCTTTTTCTTTTTCTTTCTTTCTTTTTTTTAGTACCAGTTATTAAACCCAGGGTTATAGAACCCTAGTGCTTAACCACTGAACCACATCCCCAGACCTTTTCATTTCTTATTTTGAGACAGAGTTGCTTAGGTTCTTAGGACTTCAGTAAATTGCTGAGGCTGGCCTCAAACTTGCAATCCTCCTGCCTCAGCCTCCCCAGTCACTGTGATTGCAGGTGAGATTATTCTTTAGAAACAGAGTTAAAGCTAGTGTAAGTTCCGGTCTTGATGTCACAGTAACTTGAGACTTCCGTCCCCTTCTGCTGCTTTTCAGGTGATGGCACCTCAAGGGCACTGGGACTTTCTGCCAAGTCCTGACCATGTTTGAGCCTGTGGTGTTCCTGCTGATCTGCCCACTCCCCTGTGGGTAGAGGATGCCAGATATCCTCATTTCTTCAAATAAAAGATGAAATAAAACAAAAGTTTTTGAGAACTATTTCACATATTCTTTTTTTATTCTGATATTGAACCTTATTAACCCCGATTTCTTAAAAAATAATTTTTTCTGTCTTTTGTTAGGAAATTCAATGAACTTTCTAAGTCTAGCAAAATATTTGCTTCTAGGCTAAGAACTTGAATAGACACTTCTCCAAAGATTATATACAAATGGCCAGCAAGTGTATGGAAAGGTGGTCAGCACGCGAGTTATTAAGGAAATGCAAGTCAAAACTGTAATAAGGCACGGCCTCACACCCACTTGGATGTCTACTGTCAATCGGAAAACAAGGAACACTGACCGGAGTGGAGAAACTGGCACACTGTGCTGTTGGTGGGAACGTGAAATGGCGCAGCTGCTCTGGAAAACAGCTTGGTGATTGCTCAGAAAATTACAAATTGAATTGCCATATGATCCCGCAAGTCCACGTCTGAGTATATCCAGGAGACAAGAAAGCAGGCTCTCAAAGAAATATCTGCAGAGTCAAGTTCACATTAGCACTATTTACAGTGGCTGAGTAGGTGCATCCAGGTGTTCATTGGTGGGTAATGGATAAACAAAACTTGATGTGCACATACAATAGAATACTACTCAGCCCTTAAGAAGGAAGGAAACTCTGATAACGGTACAACCTTGAGGACATTATGCTAAGTGACATAAGTCAATCACAAACAGGCAGATACTTTGTATAGGTTTCTAAGCAGACAAATTCACAGAAAAGGAAAGTAGAACAATGGTTGCCTTGCTGGGAGGAAAGGAGGATGGGGAGTTTTGTCTACTGGGTATAGATTTTAGGTTTTATGAGATGAAAAATTCCAGAGATTAACTGTACAACAACGTGAGTAAACTTGACACTACTAAACTGTACACTTAGAAACTGAGATGGTGCATTTTATATTATATGCTTTTATCTATATAAAAATAATTTTCCAGAAATCTTCAAAGGGTTGATGTGTAGTTTTCATATTCCTTACACTATAAATTATGATGAGAATTTTTTGGCTTTAAAATATTTTGATTATTTGTCCAAGTAGAAATGTTTTTATTACAAGCTGATTTGAGATAAACAGACTTTTATTTCTTATAATTTATACTGCTTTATGCTGCATCTTTAAAATTACATTTAGGCAATTGAAGCTAACTTTATAATTACTATATTAACTTTAAAAAATTACAATAAGATGTTTATAAGCACTGCTGATTTCAAAGCTGATATTTTTTGTCTGTGCAATCAGCTTTTACAAAATGCATTTAAACAGTGTTTAAATAAATAATAATTAATTATGTTTCTAGATCCTTCAAATAAGCTGGGCCTTCCAATTAGAGGGCTAATTATATTGAAAATGCAATTTCACTGCCCCCCCCCAGGCTTGTTCAGTTATCCCTGTGCAAGAGTTTTCTCCACCACGAGGCAACACCTGACGAAAATGTGTAAGTACATGCAAGGACACTTAGGTACCTATAAGACGTGCACCAGGAGTTTTATGTGGGAAAGTTGATTATCTGCTAGAAATGTGGGGCATTTTCTTTGATTTTTATGTGTTTCTATTACAACCCAGAAAGCGCAGCTATGACCACAAATACAGCTGCCAAACACACTGGGGTTGGCCAAATCGAGGCCATGGGGACATTTTGACATGCCACCTCTCACCAAGGCCCTGGGGCACACGCAGACAGTGTGTAATGTAGAGTGGTGACTTAAGATGTTCACTCAGGATACCCAGCACAAGGCGACCTCAGCCTGTCTGCTAGGACATGGTCAATGGCTAATTCTCACAGAGAGGGGAGGTGGACTCTGGTTGAGGTGGGGAACAAGCAGCCTGTCCCAGGCTGGCTTCCTGTCTCAATGGCTATTCTGTGACAACAGAACAGAGAAGTCATTTAACTTATTTGCATTCCAGTTCCTTCAAGAACTAACCACAGCTAACACCTTTTCTTTATGTTCTTCTTAGGGCATTAAACAAACAAAATAACAACATCCTTCTGTGTCTCCAGTGGGATTCTTGTCTGAGCTCCAGGGTGCACGCCTGTAACCCAGCAGCCTGGGAGGCTGAGGAGGGAAGATCGTGAGTTCAAAGCCAGTCTCAGCAAAAATGAGGTGCTAAGCAACTCAGTGAGACCCTGGTATTGAATAAAATACAAAATATGGCTGGGAGGTGCCTCAGTGGTTAAGTGCCCCTGACTTCAATCCCGTGTAACAACAACAACAAAAAAAAAAAGGATGGGATTCTTTTTGAAACCCATTTAAGGTTCCTCTGAGCCAGAAACCTGAGGCAGTGAGGAAGAGCAGAACTTCCAGCCCAGGAGGAGGAACCGTGTCTGTGGCAGTGTCCGCGGAGCCAGGCTGTGAACAGGACTACAGACAGGAGGAAGGGTCTCCGCAACCCACACACGCTGAACTTCAGACACCAGCCTCTGCAAATTAGGCTCCTCAAAATTGTGTTCAAACACCTGGACTACATGTGTTCTTAGACCTGGTAAAGCCATATCAGGAAATGGGATCAACAAAAACACAAAGTGTGTGTGTGTGTGTGTGTGTGTGTACACGTATATATGTATATGAGATTAGCCATTGAGATCCAAGTCAGCAAATTCTTTTCTTTAGACATGGAACTGTAGATTAACTAACTGCATTTCTCAGACAGACGTTCCCTGTACAGAAGCATTGTTATACCTTCAATTTTCCCCTAGCAGGTTCTCTATGGAATTATTTATTCCAAACCAGCTGATAATTTTGAATGCCATGTTTTAGAAAAATGGAAATATTAAGTCAATAAAATAGCCAGTAAGTGTTCTATTTCCTTTGCAATTACAATTAATTGAATTGAAATATCTGGATATTGAAAAATACATCAGTATATTAGATTACAAAAGCCAGCGTAACTACTCATTGTTCAGGCCTGTAATAAAGTGAAGAGCCTTACTGACAATTTCCTTCACCCGTTCACCGTCCTGTTATCATCTCTGCTCTGTCAACACTGGGAGGCTAGGAATTATGGAGCCTTGACCTACTCGGCAAGACTCGTCTTCTCCAGTTGAGTAGGTGCTGTTATCAGAAGTGACCTCCCCAACTCTCTGATCAACCTCCACGTCTCTGCCCGGGCACCTTCTCCTGGGGGAATGCCACCCTGCCTGCCCGTGCGTTCCCTGATGAGTTCCTGTCATGATGACACCATCTCTGCTTCATTCTTTACCACTGTGTCACAAGCCACCTGTCCCTGGGCGTCTGAAAGGAGAAACAGCCAAGCTCCTCCCTGCCACCATGAGTTCATTTTGGGCTGAAGTTCCCATCAGTGACAGCTGGGGCAGAAACAGCAGGACACAGGCCAGGGCGTGGGCCGAGGCCTGGGCAGACACCCCACAGATGAACAGGAGCCTTTCCTCTTCCCTCTGAGCCAGGCTAACTCTAGGCTGGCCCCATCCCTGGTTTTGCAGGATCCCCCTGCCTCAGCCTCCAGAGCTTCAGGAAGCGCAGGTGCAGCCGGGCGGCACACAACGGCTTCTGTGTTCCTCATTTTACCTCCTGCTCATGGCTTATGGCTGCCAAGGCTGGGCTCTCCATCCTGCACAGTGACTGCTCAGAGCCCAGGCAGAGCGGACGCCCCTATGTCCCATCAACGAAACCTCATCTTAAATTCATATCAAAGCAGGCACCTGCCCAGCTCAAGTCTGCTCACAGATTCCCAGAAGTTGCCGAGCCTGGCAGAAGGGTGAATTTGCCGCATGTTACGGAAGCAGCCACCTGAAGATCTAGGTCAGTTCTGTGGAGTGTCCCGCTGGCTACGAACACAGTAGAGGGGCCACCCAGAGGGGGCGCGTTGAGTGGTTGTCCTTTTAGTGTGAAGAGGCTGAGCCTTGGACAAGCAGTATCTTCGGGCTTAGAAAACATCTCACGCGATGGGCGTCTGTAAAATCTATTCTGTCTACTCGCCTGGCACATTTGTTGAGCCTCTAACACAGTGTCAGATGCACCATTGGGTAAGTAAGAAGATGTGGGTTTGGGCGTGTAATTCGGTGTGAGGTAAACACCACCCTGGGATGAAGGAAAGCTCATGGCTTCAGAGCCACCACACACGGAGTCTCCCAAAAAGGCTGCCATCACCTTGTAAATGAGTGGGGGGGGGCCCTGAGGGACAGGGGGGAGCGTGGTGGCATGAGCGGCTTCTCTCCACATGTGCCAGGCCTTGGAAGGCGGGTGGACTCGCCTGCACACGCCCTCCCCTGGATCTCTTTACTCCTGTCAAAGGGCCTTTTTCTGTTTCCTGAAATGCGGCTTCCACCTCTGCTCTGTTCTCTTCCTGGGGGAATGCCTGCCCTGCCCTGTGCTCTGTGACGCATCACTATGGCAACACGATCGCTATCTTTCCACTTTGGTTATTTATTACTGCACAACAAGCCACTGTCTTAGTCCACGTGTGCTGCTATAACAAAATACCTGAGACCAGGAAAACTTATAAAAAACAGAACTTCATTTCTCACAGTTCTCTGGAGGCCAGAAATCCTAGATCAAGATGCTGACATGTTCAGTGCCAGATGGCAGCAAGGACTTGTTCCATGGATGGCATCTTGTGGTGGCAGCCTCATATGGCAGAAGGCTGGCGGCATCACAGGGCCTACCAAGTTCTCTGCAGGCTGCTGTATCTTAGTGTTATGTGACGAGAGATGGTTACACTCATGGAGAGGGGAGAACTCTTCTTCCTTAGTAAAGCATATTTTACACCAAATAAATACACAACAGGATCAAGTAAAGAGAAACACAGGATGTAACCACTGCTTGTTTAAATAAATAGTGTGCCAAAGGCACTATTTTTTAGGAAAAAGAGGCAAATTTCAAAAATTGGAAATGTAAGTTGTATTTATGTAAAATAATTCTAGGATTGAAATTCTAGTCCCTAAAGCTAAATTGTTTATAGGGCACAAAATGAGAGATATGACCATTTTCAAAAGCATTTGAGTTCACAGGAGATGTCACGGGATCATAGGACTCCTGAAATCAA